TGTGACTGGTGAGTGACAAGGGGGCTCATTAGTCTCAGAGACTTTTCCTCCTGGTTAGCCTGGTTGACTGTTCTGCTCTTTTGCCAGCCCTTGTTCCCTTTTTATGTCCTTGTTTCATGGTCCTGGGCCGTGACCCATGAGTAGTGGCTTGGCCTTTGCCAACCTGCAGCCTCACTGTCCACGCTAGCATGGCCTCCTTCTGACGGTCAGCCACTGGCCCCCTCCAAGAGTGAACTGTGTCAGGCACAGGCCAAGCCTGATTTTATTAGAATTTTCTTTTCTTTCCATCTTAATCACAAGCATTCTTTGTTATAATTTTTAAAAAAAGAACAAAAGAAACAATCCAACAACCAACCACACTGAAACGATTAAGTACTTAATCATGTCTATAAAATGAGCCTTTATGCCATCATTGAAATGCTTCAACATAAGACAATTACTTTATATTATTACAATAAAAAGAGGCTTAAAGATTTTGTAAGGATGCAAATCACAGCCACTTGAAAATAGCATGTATGGTAACAACTGGAAGGAAACACGTCCCATGGAATGCATGGTTTGTGGGACAGGATAGAATGTTCCTGTACTTTTTTTTTCTGTTTTATTCTATTCTGTCATTTAAATTTTCTTAAAGTTTACAATTTCTAGTTCCGAAGAAATTAGGAGAAAAAATCACGAGGTGAATTAAATTCCAAAATTGCACTCAGGTTGGCTTTTCTAAGTGACTGTCGGCCATATCCTATGCCTGGTGGTGGTATTTCATGAGAGTTTCTCTGGATGTGGAAGAACTCAGCCCCTCTGAGAGCCAATCTTTTTGGGGGACATGTCACTGCCTCTGTGCGGGTCACTCTCTCTATTGAAGATACTCAGGACGGAGGGACCCCCTGTCATGGCAAATCACAAGTATATGCAAAGTATGGAGGGACCCAAGCTCCCACTCCACACTCTCCATCGGCATACTAATTTTTATAACCCAGGATTTCTTTTTAAGCCCATATTTTTCTCTGAAAAGAATATAGCAACATGATGGAAAGTTTGGAAAATAGGAAAAAAATCTCTCATCAGACCACTTCTGATCCAATAACCACCATTCATAACGATGTGTGTAACACACCCTTTCTTTCTGCATTTTCCATGCAGGGTATGTTTTAAGGTTGCACAGTATATCGTTCGTGGCTCTTACTTCTTTTTTTTTTTTGTTACGCAAGTTACACTGAGAGCATTTATCCTGTGGCTGCACAACCGGCATTAATCATCATTTTAATGGTTATTTGATGCTTCATGGTGAAAATACCGTAACAAAATTAATCTTCTACCAGTCATTTGGATCCCTGACACAATTTTGCTGTCAGGAATGATCCCAAGATGAACTTCTGTGATACAACTTTTTCCTGCTTTTTAATAATTTTCTTAGGATAGCTGCCCAGAAATGAGATTATTGGGTCAAAGGAAATGAGCATTATTTTGGCTGCTGACACATATGTCCAAATTGCCTTCTGAAACTTCACGGTGCCCGCCAGCCAGCACATGATGGGGGCCGGGGCTGTCCCATCCTCTCCAGCAGAGTCACCGCGTGGCTCATCCGAAAGCTATGCAAGCTTCCAGTCCTAACAGCTTGAGGAGCATTTTGCTAGACATGCTTGATCGTCCCTATTGACATCACCAGCCAGGCAAGTCGCTCTCTAAGCCTCTGCCCACCAATCTCTTTTCTCAGCCCCCCAGGACGTTG